TATTTATCCTTCCATTCATGGAACCAGTCATCTTTGAGTTGGGAAAAAAGAAACAATGATTTTAATCAGAACTTAAAAATAAAGGAAAATTTACTCAGCTTAAAAAAAAAAAGATCTGGAGTGAAAGAGTCACATAGTCTGTCCTGAACTCTGGTTCTGCCACTGATTAATGTGTGCTGTGGACTGAATGTCCCCCCAAGACTCACTGAAACTTGATGCCCATTGTAACAGTGTTAAGAGGGTGGGAAATCCTATTACAGTAATTGAAAGGTGGGACCTTGAAGAAGTGATTAGATTGTAGGGCCATGCCATAGTGAACAGATTACTAATGGTGGTCTGGGCATGGTTCTGAGGGTTCTGAAGGGAGAGTGCGTGAGGAACTATGTCTCTGCTCCACCATCTTCTGCCATGTGAGACCCCTGCATTGCTGTAAAGCCCCACCAAAGAAGACCCTCACCAGATGTGTTCCCTGGACTTTGAACTTCCCAGCCCCCCAAACTGTAAGCAATAAATTTTGTTTTCATAACAAGTACACAGTTCCAGGTTTTTTGTTATAAACAACAGAAGTGGACTAATACACCCAGTTTCAGGTATTTGGTTACAAGTAGTGGAAACAAACCAATAGTGTGTGACCTTGAGCAAGCTACTTAATCTTTTCAGAATTCTGCCCTTACTCTGAAAAAAATGGGAATAGAATTTACCTCAAAGGACTTCTGTGAGGAATAGATGAGAAAATGCACCTAAAGGGCTTAGCTTAGTGTTAATTGTGGTACTCTTAGTGATGCCAGAGCCTACATGCAACTCCGGTGCAGCAGGACCAGCTTGTTATGGAGCCTGATGGGAGGGCTCATCACCTGCCAGCCGCTGTGCCTATGAGATCTTTGTGTAACCATTGATCTTACATAATCCTTCCAACAACTCTTTGAATTAGAGACGATTTAGGCTTTCAAGATACCACATGCTAATAGGTGGTACCGTCAGGATTTAAAGCTTGAAGTCTTAAGTGGAATAATAAATCATTTCTGGAGAGCAAAGTGTGGGAGAGATTTTATTTTTTTATATACCCTTTGGTATTTATTTGAATGTCTTTTACCATGTCCATCTATTATTTTCAATTTTAAATACTAGTTATTAATCTCACCAACATTCACTGCTCCCACAAAAAGGTAAAGAGAAACTGCGTTAATTTTTTTTTTTAAAAAAGGTCTTCAGTTTTCTTAGTAGAGGAGAAAAAGGCTAATAACCACCTCCCTGCAACTTTTCACAAGATCTCAAATTGCTGTGTTAAATTACATGCCCAGTTACTGGGGTTTTTCCTTCCCATTACAAACAAGTTTACATGGACTCTATAAGCCTTCTTTATTTTATCCCATTTTCCTCCATTTACCAATTCTTCTACCTTTTGATCGGTAACTGTATTTTACACATAATCATTTACTTATCAATTCTAGTCACTGAAGCATCCTACAATTTAAAACAAGTGCCTAATTCTATTTGCTTTAGCAAGACATCTTTGGGCTTACAGTCTCTTTACTAAAATATAAAACTATTAAACAGATTACAAGAATATTTTCAAGCAGAAATGTAATGCAAATTCTAATACATAAGCTCATCCTCACTTCAAAGTCTTATGAGAAGGGCTCATCTTATGTTCAAACTCTGGTTTGTCTCTTTCAGGCATCTGCCAACTTCCTTAAAGGGCCAGATAGCAAATATTTTAGGCTTTGTGGGCCAACAGGCAAAACTGAGGATATTATGTAGGGATTTGTATAACTATTTAAAATGTAACTATGTTAAAATGTAAAAAACACTCTTAGCTCATCCATGGCTGGCCAGATTTGGCTCATTGGTCATAGTTTGCCAACGCATGGTTTATGTGCTAAATTTCCTCCCTTTCTTGCATCATCTGAAAAAATGATGTAATATCCTTTTCTCTAAAAAGTGAGGAGTCATTTTTTCCTACCTAATGTCTGACTGTTATGATTCATTAGTTACTTGCACCATGACAAAAATTATACCTACACAGTTGATGCAGAATGTTTTATTTATGTATATATTATCTGATACAGATGTCTCTGTCTTTATCTTTAAAATTGTCTCCCTCTTCTTATCGAACCGCAGAATTCCTAAAGGATGAGACCTGTATCTGTTTAATGCAGTTTGTATACTCTCAGCCGAGCACAAGCATCACATGGACATCTGACATATTTCAATAATGATCAAAAGTAAAAACAACCACTGCAAATATAAAAGTCAACAAGAGACATAGAAAAAAGCAGACGGAAATACACATAAAAAGATATTATTTTAGAATGATGCTATAGATAATTTGTAAAATCTACTTCTTTGAATTTATATATAAGATTATATTGGTTTTCTTATTTAAAGAACAAAGAAAAATTATAATTAAGAACAAAATTGGCTGGCGGGTTAGCTCAGCTGGTTAGAGTGTGGTGCTAATAACACCAAGGTCTAAGGTTTGATCCCTCTACCAGCCAGCAAGACAAAAAAAAAAGAATAGAAATAAAAATGCAAAATCGAGGTAAATATTTTTGGCTCTTGGACTACAAAAATAATAATCAGTGAGGAAAACTAAGAAATAAAGGGGAGAGAAATGACCATGCTTCTGATTTTCTCTTCATGTTTAGGGAAAAAAAAAAAAGCCTTTTAATATTTGGAGTGGAAATTAACAGTGATGATATTTTTGGTCTAAAAAAAATATGAATGACACATCTTATTAAAACAAAAGGAACAAAAGAACTTTAACCAGACTATACTTGTGAAGGTTATTTAGTATAGGAATTTCATGGCTTGAAAATACATATTTAATGACAAGCAAATGAACTGATGGCCAGGAAAACTGAAGAACGCCTTTCCCTTTACAATGTGATATTAAAGTGCTGCTTATGGACAATCGTAAAGTAAAAAGTGTTTGAAGGTTAATTTTTATTTTATAAAAATTGACACCATTGGGCCGGCCCGGTGGCACACTGGATCCCATATAGAGACCGGTCCGCTCACTGGTTGAGCGTGGTGCGGGCGCGACACCGAGGGTTGCGATCCCGTTGCCGGTCACAGTGCGGGTGCAACACCGAGGGTTGCGATCCCGGTTACCGGTCACGAAAAAAAGACAAAAAGGGGAAAAAAAAAAATTGACACCATTAAAACCAACATGATGATTTTCTACTCATCTAATAACTGAACTAGCAATATCATAAAAATATGTAAAAAATATTCTAGATTCATAATTACTGATATGATACTACCCACATAGCTAGTATAAATTTAATGATTAAAAAAATAATTTTGTTCCTTAAAAACACTTGGTTCATTTACCATTTAATCAGATAGATATTTGCTATCCTGAAGTACCAAAATAAGTCACAAATAAAAATGGCAATGTCTAAACTTTAGGTTTCTTGTTAGGTGGATCCTGAAGACTAAACTTTGGAATTTCACCAGAAGGAGCATACGGAATTCTTTTTGAAGACACCTTTTTGCCAATTGTTTCAATCTGAAGAAAAAAAAGATTTTAAAAAGAGAACTATTAATAATTATAGTAAACAAATGTAAGAACTCTATAATGTAGTGAAATAAGGGGGAAAACCTAAATAAATTTTTCTTAATTTATTTTAATTAATTAATTAATTATTTTTCCTGGCAGCACTGAATTCTAAATAAAAAAGACCTTCAACAAGTCGGTGACAAATTAACAGAACCAGATCAGATATTTCTGAATAGGTAGGTGAGGCCTTACTGGTACCTCTCCAAGACAGCTGGTGCTGAGAGGCACACAGACAGCTATCAAACACTGCCCCTTCTCTGCTCTGCTTGGACACTATGCTGACAGCAATCCCCCGGCATATTTCTTCATCCTCCCTAACTTACTCCACCTCTCCAGCCCTCCAGCCCCATACATTGCTCTGAGGAAATGGAAAGTAGCTCCTTCTTATTGATACTTTGGGACCCCTAGTAGAATTGAAATAGATGTAACATACAAATGCACTGGTCTGGGCAGAGGCTTCTGTCAACTTTCTAAATGTTTCATAATTGATAAACTTTGAATTAGAAGAGGGTCAGCACCACTGAAGCTCATGTGCTCTTCATTCAGACCTTTTACAGCACTGGGATAGTGCTGAGCACTGAAAAGTACAACATGAACACCTGCTGACTGACGGAGGGCCCATTTCTCTGGGCACCCGGTGGTGTGGATGGCAGCTGTTACCATGTGGGGATGATGGTGTTCTTCCCAAGGCAGAGTGGAACACTTCAGTCACCACCACAATTAACACCCCCCCTCGCCCAAGTCCTCTTTGAGTAAGGGAAGACAACGAGAGAATTGGTTCAGCTGGGAATAATAAAAATACCAACATATCACAACCATGCTGCATTTTGCAGTTTTCAAAACACATCTATGTAGTTGCTTATTTGATTTTTATGATATGAGGTAAGGCAGGGCACATTCCGTCCCTATATGATAGGCAACTGATGACCCCCTAGACACTATGTAAGGGCAACCAACACTGAATGACCTTTAGATCACAAATTTAGGGAGAGAGTGGAGTAGTTACAAAAATTCCAGACTTTCCAGAGAACTGACATGTTTTCCTATAGAAGTGACATGTTGCCCCAGAGTTATGTTATTGCTAAATGAGAAAATATAAAAATTCTAAAGCCCAAACAATGGGTTTAAAAAGCAAATGGACAGGTCAGCCCAGTGGCGCACTGGAGAGTGCGCCGCTTGGGAGCATGGCGGTGCTCCCGCCGAGGGTTCGGATCCCATGTGGAAACCGGTTCCTGCTCACTGGCTGAGCGCGGTGCGGGCGCGACACCGAGGGTTGTGATCCCGTTGCCGGTCCTCGGTACGGGCGTGACACCGAGGGTTGCGATCCCATTACCGGTCAGTAGAAAAAGACAAAAAGGAAAAAAATAAAAATAAAAATAAAAATAAATAAAAAGCAAATGGACAAACAAAAAAGCCAGTTCAGGATCATGATTACCTGGAAGCCAATGGTTTGTAGTTCGTTGTGGAGCCCATCCAGGACACGTCGTCCATCAAAGATAAAGGCTGGCTTTAGCATTTTTTTATGAATGCGTTCATAGTCCAATTCCTATAAAGGTATATATATCAAAGGAACAATTAGGACAAATACATGAACACATACTCAACCCCAACTGATACTAGGACACCTCTAGAATCCTGTCACCTCACCTTAAACATGTCCCACTCAGTACAAATAACAACAGCATGGGCACCATCACATGCGTCATATGGATCCTTGGAAATGGTCACAAGTCGGGACACTAAAACAACAGCAACAATGAAAAACCAGGAACGAGAAAGGAGTTACTTGAAATGTATTTTAACACTAGGACTGCAGGAAGAATTGAGCATCTTACAAAAGTGAACAGTCTGGTCAAAGTGTGAATGAGAGTGATCAGGGGAGCCCGAAGCACACCCAAACCTTGCCCCAGAAGCATCTCCTCGGAACCCCTGGGGTTTTGTGGAATACATTGGAAAGATCATTGGACTAACCCACAGCCGATCAAATCAAAGCTGATGACATAATGCCTAAGAGTTTTACTTTAGAGCAATGAGGTAGATAAGAGGGCATACCAGTGATATAAACGATGAAAACTGAATTAAAGTTTTCTAGAGAACAGTAAGTTTCAGAGTCTGTACTCAAAGCGATTCATGAGACTGAAAATCTTACCTTGGTCATCCTCTGAAACACCCGGATGAGAAAGATCCACAACTATTTGTTCCCTGGGTACTTTTGGATCATATATATGGAGGTGTGCGCCTTCATCCATCAAATATTTGCTAATATATATACTAGAGGATTCTCTGAAGGAAAAAAAAAATCAGTATTGCTAAAGTTTAAGTGGCATTCTAATACCAGGGAGTTTGAGACACAAGTGAGATTCTATTTTTTAAGCTGGCTGAGTAGTGAGGATATGAATATTTATTTTTATTCTTTATACTACATATGCATGTATATATACCCATATGTATTTCACACACACATCCACCAATCAAAAAATCAGGATAAGATGAAGAATTAACACATTCTTTTTTTTTTTTTTAATAAAGATGACCGGTAAGGGGATCGTAACCCTTGACTTGGTGTTGTCAGCACCACGCTCAGGCAGTGAGAGAACCGGCCATCCCTATATGGGATCCGAACCCGTGGCCTTGGTGTTATCAGCACCGCACTCTACCGAGTGAGCCACAGGCCGGCCCAGAATTAACACATTCTCAAAGGTGCTGAAATATTTTAAAGAACTGATACCTCGTATCGCCAGTGTCCTTTTTGAATGCAAATCCCAAAATAGCAATCTTCTTATCAGTCACTGTATTAAACAGACTGTCTATGATCCGGGAGGCAAACCTCCTCCTCTGGTAGTCATTCATGTCTATGACCTGAAATTACATGTACAATTGTGCAAGGATGAATTAAAAGAGGTGCAGCCTATGACATACATGACTCAGAGTTTTATAATGAGTGCTACTGTATGAATACAAAGCTTATATATTAACAAGCAGTTAATAGATTAGTTATTAAGAAACTATTGTCTACAGATTTAAAAAGAAAAAGAGCCACTCATCCCTGTCTTAAAGCCATCCTAAAAATTTTTATTTTCATTTTGGCTTGATTTTCCATGCATCAGGCTGGGATGGATGCTAAGAAGGGGAGCACAGCTAAGTTTTAACTGAGAGCATTTGAGATCCAGCTATGAGAACACCGCAAATAAGTCACAAAGAAAACAGTACTGTATTCTCCTTGGGAAGCTTCTCTGAAGCTTGGAAGCAAGGCCACAGGCATTCAAACCCCAGAGTACTCCCTCATATACTTATGCCCCACCATTCACCAAAATTCAGTTTGAGTAGAAAGTGTACAGGGAACAAACAACATGCACAGTTATAGCTGCCTCTGAATGAACCATAACACCACAAACCTTGACAAAGTCTTTCTTTTAAAAGATGACTGGCAAGGGGATCTTAACCCTTGACTTGGTGTTGTCAGCACCACACTCTCCCAAGTGAACCACGGGCTGGCCCTTGACAAAGTTTTAACTAAATGTTATGAGAGTCTCTGATCACCTAATCTGTAAAATTTAGGTCGGTGAGCATAAGGAAAGAGACTTTTTTTTAAAGACTCTAAGTTTCTAGGGGCCATCTCAAACCTCAAGGGCTTGGGAAATGAGCCCGAAGTGTTGGAAAATCAAGACTGCATATTTCACACAATGAACAGTAAGACAGAGCCATCATGCTGCATTCAGTGAAATGAAACTAAGAGTGCATGTTTTCCTTTAAAAAATGTTCATTTCCAGGGCCAGCCCGTGGCGGGTGAGTGTGGTGCTGATAACACCGAGTCAAGGGTTAAGATCCCCTTACAGGTCATCTTTAAAAAAAAAAAAAAATAGTTCATTTCCTTAGATTTCCTCCCACATCTATTGCTGAAATCTGAAAAATTATAAACTCAAGGGGAAAATATCAAGGAAAGGCATATATATACTGGCTAGTACCTTAGGCAAATTACTTAACATCTCTTAGCATCAACTAAAGCGTCATCCCTCACCTAAAAATGGGGGATACCTGCACTGGCCTGCAGCCAAAAAATTAAAATGGGGGATAATGTTAGTAATGAGGACTAAATGAGACAATGCATACAAAGTACCCAAAAGAGTACCCAGTATGGGGTAAGCATTCAATAAACATTAAGTCTATTTCCCAGAACTCATTCAATGCTTCCAATTTGAGAAGGGTTTCTAATTTTATCTCTGTGAATTTGAAAATGATGAAACAAATATCAACAGATGCAAACCACTTGAAAGCATTACAGTACAGTTTCTTCCTTTATCTTTATTTTATGCCTTTCAAGACAGAGAAGAATTATAATTAAAGATAATGGTTCTTGTTTTACTCTGGGAGTGAATTTAGTTATGAAATTAAAAGACAAATGAAAAACGCAAAAGCCCAGTAAATAAACCTAAAATAAGCAAATTAAATATAATAATGATTGAGTTCCTAGAATAAATAAATTCCATCAAAACATGTCACAGACAAAGAGTGACAGCTTTAATTAGAAGCTGATCAGAAGCTATTGACTATAAAGATTAATACCTGTTGCCAATAACGAGCTACTTCAGGCAAATTGAGAGCCTCACAGAGATAAACCAAATTCAGAACATCTTTTTGGAAGCAGCTCCCACCAAAACCTTAGGAAAGAAAACATTGACAGTATTTTCACGTAAGAACCAGACAACTGAATCATATGATAAATTTCTTTATGCTCTATCAGAGGGCCTATACTAAGATTTTTAGTAATAAAATTCAGATGTTGGAAAATTAATGGGTTCATGGGGCCGGCCCATGGCTCACTCGGTAGAGTGCGGTGCTGATAACACCAAGGCCGCGGGTTCGGATCCCATATAGGGATGGCCGGTTTGCTCACTGGCTGAGCGTGGTGCTGACAACACCAAGCCAAGGGTTGACATCCCCTTACCGGTCATCTTTTAAAAAAAAATTAATGGGTTCATAAATTGTGTGGAATTTATTGGCAATAATCAAGTCTACAAGTAATTTCCAAATAATTTTCTAACTAAAGTTTCATTAAGGCTACATTTGACTTTTTGTTTACTTTCATCTTCTGTTTTTTTCTCATGTATCTGGTATTATTGTCCCACATCTCTTACTATAGCAGAGGGTTGGCAAACTTTTTTTTTTTTTTAAAGTTGACTGGTACGGGGATCTTAACCCTTGTCTTGGTGTTGTCAGCACCACGCTCTCCCAACTGAGCCAACCGGCCATCCCTATATGGGATCCGAACCCGTGGCCTTGGTGTTATCAGCACCATACTCTCCCAAGTGAGCCACAGGCCGGCCCTAAAGGTTGGCAAACTTTTATGGTAAAGAGACAGATAGTACTTCAGACTTTGTGGTCCATATAGTCTCTGGTGCAACTATTCAACTCTGCCCTTGTAGCTCAAAAGCAGACACATACAATATGTAATCAACTGGACATGGCTGTGTTCCAATAAAATTTATTTTCAAAAAACAAGCTGTGATCTGTATTAGGCCCAAGGGCTGTAGTTTGCCCACCCTTGCTCTGGTGCACTGCAGTATGCAGTAAGGGATGGTATGGGCTTTGGAGTCAGCAAAACCTGGCCACTCATTAATTGTATTACTTTGAGCAAGTTGCACAAATTTCCTTGAACCCAAATAATCTCTAAGAAGGAATAACAGCACTCTCCTAACAGGTTATAAGAATTAAATGAGATATATAACTCAGTTGGTTAGAACTGGGTGTTATAAAACCAAGGCTAAAGGTTTGGATCCCCCTGTTGGCCAGCCACCAAAAAAAAATTAAAAAGAAAGAATTAAATGAGATAATAAAGTTCTTATACTGAACCTGGTACATAATATGCCTTCAGTAAATAGTAGCTATTTTTATTAATGATAGCTAGAAGAAAATATTAAAAAGATATAAAAGGCCAGGGAAACCAGTATTGGGAAATGACAAACAGCTCCCAGAAATACTGGAAGGGCTGCCTACAGCCCAATCTGTAAAAGATTCTAGTCACCTTTATAACAACCTTATTAACTTATATACAAAAATACAGTCAATTCTCATTATTTGTGGTAGTTATGTTCTATAAAGTCGCCACAAACAGCAAATTGGTGAACACTGAAGTATTGCTCCTAGGTGAAATATAGGGTTAGGTTCTGCAAGCTTCTGTTCACATTTTCGTGTTTTGTTATTGTAATCAACAGATAACCTTGTGGGCCGGCCCAGTGGCTCACTCGGGAGAGTGCGGTGCTGATAACACCAGGGCCCCGGGTTCGGATCCCAAATAGGGATGGCCGGTTCGCTCACTGGCTGAGCGTGGTGCTGACAACACCAGGTCAAGGGTTAAGATCCCCTTACCGGTCATCTTTAAAAAAAAAAAAAAAAATAGATAACCTTGTTCTACATGTGCTGTTTAAAGACACCTTATTTAATGTACAATATGATTCATTATCATTGAACTCAATGGCCAACAGCACTACAACCATGCCTGAATGAAGCTTCTCTGACACACATTTTCTCCATGAGGCTCATCACAGCCTTCTTGTGCTTAGGACCACTAGATACACTTCAGCACTATACTTTGGGGTCATTTTAAACAGAGAAATCACCAACAAAAAGCACAAAAATGTGAAAACATGGCTCTAAATAGACCACAAATAGGATACTTGTTTAAGGTATGAAAGATGAAACGAGAAGACACAGCATTTCCCGTTCAACCTCAGCTGGCTCAGCTGCATATCAGGCGACTCAAATTCTTCACGGCTCTGTGCATGTCCAAGAATGATCATGGACAGTAGCAAGAGAATTGATTTGAGGGTTACAAATAAATTTTAGCAAGCAGGCAAATTCACAAACACAGAATCCACAAATAATGAGGATTGACTTTATTTCACCAGGCCACATTTCCAGAAATGTATTAGTAGGAAAAACAAACTGTAGGGAAATTTTTTTCCTATTTGCTTAAATCAGCTGTTACTTGAGTTATTTTCTAACAGTCTCTCAAATTTATTCTTCCTAAATGTTCTAACTGTATACTAATTTCTTCTACCTAAAACACTGAGCTATGTTTATACTACTAATCAGTCACGAATTATTAAACAATATAACTAATTATTGCCTCACTTAGAAAGTCCCTGGTTGGGGCTGGGCAGTTAGCTGAGCTGGTTAGAGAGTAGCCTTATAACACCAAGATCCGCTACTAATCAGTCACGAATTATTAAACAATATAACTAATTATTGCCTCACTTAGAAAGTGCCTGGTTGGGGCTGGGCAGTTAGCTGAGCTGGTTAGAGAGTAGCCTTATAACACCAAGATCCTTGGGTTTGGATTCCCATACCGGCCAGCTGCCAAAAAAACAAAGTCAGTCCTTGGTAGGTTAAAGCCCACGTTGCATAATGGAATCTTTTTTTAAAAAAAGGATATTAAGTTAAAAAAAAAGTTCTTTAAAGTTAGAGACCTACGTAAATAAACCAACTTTATGTAGAAAAAAGTTTTAACTTACCAACACTGGCTTTTAGAAACTTATTTCCAATTCTCTGGTCCATTCCAATGGCTGTTGCTACCTCTTCTACATCAGCTCCTGTTGCTTCACACAGGGCACTTATGGAGTTAATGCTGCTGATTCTCTGGGCAAGGAAAGCATTTGCTGCCTTTAAAGAAAAAGAGGGGGGATGTGGAAGTATGATGAGCTAAAACAGCAATTTTGTATGCCTGGATTATATTTCATTGAGTTGATGCAAATTACTGACAGAAATAAAAGATGCTGGATGGGCTCAATTTGAGGAGACCAGGGATGGGTTGGCAAGGGAAAATGTTCTAAATTAGAGAAGACAGATGATTAAGAAAAAGTATAAAAGGAGGGAAAGAGTGATAAAAAACAAATTACTACTTTAATGTACCTTCCATGTTATCTTATATTTCATTAAAATTTTAGTATTTTTCAGAATATTTCATACCTGATATTTGATCCTTTGTGAAAATTATTTCATAATTTCAATGTGTAAGAATATTATCTTCAAAAGCAAAATCTTTTATCAATATTAAGAAAGTATCTGTGTAGCTTATCAGGTTTAAGAGAAATAAATACATGGCTTTAAATTTAATGGACAGTTGAATGCTATGTACTAACCAGTTTGGAAAGCTCTGAAGACCACGTATTAGTAGTGATGATCCTTTCTCTGGGAACCCAGTGCTCGTAGACAGCACACAGTGCCTGCACAGCTCTCTGGCCCTCTGGGGTTTCATCCCCTCCTATGAGTACTCTGTCTGGGTTCTTTAGGTCCTTGATAGCTGTTCCCTCTGCCAAGAACTCAGGGTTGGACAACACCTAGAATCCCAATGTAAAGAAAAGTTTTAAGCAAGAATTAATCATGGGCAACTTTAAGGCATCAATATTTACATAAGAATAACCAGATTCTAATGCTTCTTTTTTTTTATACCTGTAAATTCAAGTTGGGTTTTGTGTTCGCATCAAATATACGACGAATACTTTCTGCTGCACGCACTGGAACTGTGCTTTTCTCAGTCACAATTTTGTACCCATTTGAGTTTTGCACAATACGTCTAGCACAAGCTTCAATATACTTCAGATCTGCTGCCCGGCCTTTCCCCATTCCATAGGTTTTTGTTGGAGTGTTCACCTGATGAAAACATGGGATAAAGAACAGAGAACCTGTGAGATATTCAGTGATTTCAAGGTATACCCTGGACTATCAATTAACTAGTCAAGTGGTAAGTTAACCACCATCAGTAACCCTCTATAAGTTCCACAGAAATAATACATTTTACAAATATAATCACCAGAAGAAAGAGTTTGAAGCATCTGGTGAACTCATTCAATAAATTTTTGTTGAGAAGCTACTATATGCAAGAGAACTTCAAAAAGTTCATGGAAAAATAGCATTAAATGATAATAAGAATCTTTCCATATACTTTTTGAAGTACTCTCATATATGCCAGATACCAGGGCAAGCAGGTTCCAAGCTAAGCCCTAGAGATATAAATGAATGAGACAGTTCTCATCCTAAATAAGTTCACAGTCTGAAATGAAATGTAAGTTTTCTCTTCTTTCCTTTCCTTATTGTATGTAATATATTATCATGGTCTTTACTAACTAACTTGAAACTCCTTCCTTATTCTCCTTTTTTTATAGGCCTATATCAACAGCTTTTTAAATGTTTGCAATACAGGCTGGCCAGTTAGTTCAGTTAGTTAGAGTGTGGTGGTGTAACACCAAGGTCAAAAGGGTTGGGATCCCCATATCAGCCACCCACCAAAAAAAAAGTATTTGTGAATGATATTACAAAAAAGGAAGTTTTTTTTTTTTTGGGGGGGGGGGGGCGGGGGCTGGCCAATACGGGGAAACCTTTTTTTAAATACTATGTTGACAAAGACTTTCAAATAAAAAAATAAAAATTAAATAATGAGTCCAGAGTCTAGGCATTTAGTTTTAGCTTAGCTGCAGCATGTAACCTTGGGGAAGTGTGGCTGCCTCTGCCTCAGTGACTTCATTGGAAATGAGGATAACATGTTCTCTAAAAATTAACACATAAGGCTGGCCAGTTAGCTCACTCAGGAAAGCATGGTGCTACTAATGCCAAGGTCAGGGGTTCTGATCCCCGTACTGGCCAGCTGCAAAAAAATAAAATAAAATAAATTTTAAAAATAAAAATTAACATGAGTGTTAGAATGCTATGACAAAAATGGAAGTGTTCTGAAAAGTCTAAATCTTAACAGAAATAGGAATTTTTTTTTTTTTTTTTGACAGGTAAGGGGATTGCAACCCTCGGCACGGTGTTGTCTGCACCACGCTCAGCCAGTGAGAGCACCGGTCATCCCTATATGGGATCCAAACCCGCAGCCTCGGCACTACCAGAGCCGCACTCTCCCGAGTGAGCCACGGGGCCAGCCCTAGGAAATATTTTTTAATCAATAGTAAGTTGTGCTAATTCTCTTCTCTCTCTTTTTTTTTTTTTTCTTAAAGATGACCGGTAAGGGGATCTTAACCCTTGACTTGGTGTCGTCAGCACCATGCTCACCCAGTGAGCTAACTGGCCATCCCTATATGGGATCCGAACCCGGGGCCTCGGTGTTATCAGCACTGCACTCTCCCGAGTGAGCCACGGGCCGCCCCCTAATTCTCTTCTCTTGATGAACGTATAATCTAAGGAGAAACTAAATAAAGGAAACAAGCCCAAATAAATAAAAACTTGAAGACTGTGCTGAGGTGTGAATAGTAGGAGGAAAAAGTTGTTTACATGCATGGAACAACTTAGGGCAAGACTCAGATGATGTCAGGGTGCAATGGAGTACAGAAGGGGAAGACAGCTGATGGGCTAAGGTATAACTGGAGGGAGATGGGAGAAGATCAGACAGCTTCCTTAGGTAAAGGAGCTCTAAAGGTAATGATTGAAAACTGATCCCTACAAAATGATACCTGTCTGGAATTTGCTTAAAAATAATACAGGGCAGGAGGGAAGAGAGGAAAATTGTAAGTGAGGGCTGGCCAGTTAGCTAAGATAGAGTGCGATGTTATAACACCAAAGTCAAGGTTTCAGACCCCTGTACTGGCCAGCAGCAAAAAAATAAAAAGAAAAGTAGTAAATGAAACAAGATCAGTCATAATTGTTGAGGATGTAGAAAGGGTAAATGGAGGTCATTATATTAATGTCTTCATTTTTTGAGAAATTTGATATTTTCCATGACTAAAAGTATATAATAAGGAAACAAAAACACTGCTCCAGAGAATGGGAACTAGATGGTAGACTGAGTTATACAGTAATAAATTAACCTACTAGGCACACAAAATAATAGCTTGGACAGACTCAGGACAGCTCAGGCTGGATCGGCAGAGAGGCAAGTGTAAAACCAACTGTTTGTGCCAGGCCACCCTAAGACAGGACTCCAATGCCTGAGAACAGATTATTTATAAATGTCCTTTTAGAGAAAATTCCCCTATTCCCATTCCATGTTCTGGTCATCCAAATGTTGGACTAAAGTAATTTCTTGATTTTCTCCAAGTATCTATGTACTCCAAAATATTTTCACATGTTTTATGCATCTATACTAACTTCTTGCAAGTTTAAATAGGAGGTGGGTAGGTGAGTCAACAGGAGCTGCATCAGTTTCTCTGAAATGATTAAGGAGGCTATAAAGAGAGGCTGAATTCATAACACAGTTTTACCACTGGCTTCACAACCACTTTCTCCTGGAGTTCACATGTCCTCACGGTACTGCTTTTGTCTCACCAGTCAGAAAACAACCCCTTATTCAACAATTTGTAATCATTAATAATATACATAATCAATTCAACAGCATCTACCATCTATGGACCCCATAACGTTTCTTTTCTCAATCTCATGGGGCTCTGTCAAAGCTCGCATCACTGACTTTCCCTTTATTTCCTAAGGCCATAAAGGAATTGAGCCATAAGAGCCTTAGCTCAGCTACCAATTGGTGATAGCTATACCATCACATACATAATATTTGAGTAGATGGTTACTAGAGCAGTAAGAAATAAGTCGCCTTGGTTCCAATATTGAATTATTAGAATTTAATCCCAAATGTTTGTTCTATGTTTTTCATTACAAAGGTACAACAGTTCAGCCATATTATAAGTTGAAGGTGTCTGTGGGCTAGCATGATAACCTAACCAACATAGGCCAAGTTCCAGACAATTAATTTAAAATGACCTTTGGAACATAATTCATTTAGATAGGAGATGCCTGTAAGGTTGCAAAATGATTCTCTTTATCTCACCTCTGCCAACCAGTAGAAACAAGAAGTGATAAAATACATAAGAAATATATCATCACATGTGCTCAGAAGTTACTAGGACTCCCTAGTTCTAGATCTCAGATTAGAACTTTCTCTGATTTTATTTGTTCAATGACTTGAAATGATATTTGATCGGATGATTATAGGATTTGGTGAACTGTCAGACAAAGTGACAACCAAGATTTAACTGGACAGCTCTACACTGAGCAATGTTGTGGCTTAATACGAATGAGTTCACTATTAAAATACAATTAAGGGCCAGCCTGTGGCTCACTTGGGAGAGTGTGGTGCTGATAACACCAAGGCCACGGGTTCAGATCCCTATATAGGGATGGCCAGTTAGCTCAATTGGGAGAGTGTGGTGCTAACAGCACCAAGTCAAGGGTTAAGATCCCCTTACCAGTCATCTTTAAAAAAATAAATAAAATAATAATAATAATAATAAAGTACAATTAAACTTTTATATAGACAAGAATACATTAAAATTCACACAGCAAAGGAAAATACTTACAGAAATAAATACAAGATCAGCTTCTTTAATGGCATCATCAATATTGGTAGAAAAAAATAGATTTTTTCCTCGACAGGATTCAACCACTTCTTTTAGTCCTGGCTAGAAAGAAAAAAGAAAAGATGTTGTGCGTACAGTTTACCAGTCACATCAGGTAACCTAATAGTATAAACTTACATTTGTTAAAGGGAAAGGTTATGGTTTAATTTAAAGGTCTGGGGGCTGGCCTGTGGCTCACTCGGGAGAATGCGGTGCTAATAACACCAAGGCCATGGGTTCGGATCCCATATAGGATGGCCGGTTTGCTTACTGGGTGAGCGTGGTGCTGACAACACCAAGTCAAGGGTTAAGATCCCCTTACCAGTCACCTTTTAAAATAAATAAATAGGGCCGGCCTGTGGCTCACTCGGGAGAGTGCGGTGCTGATAACACCAAGGCCACAGGTTCGGATCCCATATAGGGATGGCCGGTTTGCTTACTGGGTGAGCGTGGTGCTGACAACACCAAGTCAAGGGTTAAGATCCCCTTACCAGTCACCTTTTAAAATAAATAAATAGGGCCGGCCTGTGGCTCACTCGGGAGAGTGCGGTGCTGATAACACCAAGGCCACAGGTTCGGATCCCATATAGGGATGGCCGGTTGGCTCACTGGCTGAGCCTGGTGCTCACAATACCAAGTCAAGGGTTAAGATCCCCTTACCGGTCATCTTTAAAAAAAAAAATAATAAAATAAAATAAAATAAATAAAAATAATAATAATTTAAAGGTCTGGATTTGCTCTCAAATAAAATCATTGTAGAAAAGTCAAGGATCATATGCCAAAGGCCATAAGTGTACGGTATATAACATTACTAAATAAAGCAAAATTGAACTTGCCATTGAGCTTGCCACAATTAGATCAGCAGCTCATTTTAATGCTTTGTCATTCTTTACCATGTGCCTATTTCATAAGTTAACTATTAACTCAGTATCAACACAACTTTCAGAAAACCAAAGGTCCTCTGTGATTTCAAGCAAACATTTGATTTTGCACTGTCATTATGAATTTAGATTTTTACTCCCAATAATTCAGGCCAAACAACTGGTTATAAAAGTCAATATTCACTCTATAAAAACATAAATATATATTTTTCTAATTCCTATTGTAAGGAACACTTCTACTGAAACATTTTTATTACTTTTCCCCATACAATTTGATATATATATATATATATATATATATTAAGGATACTGAGGGCCAATCAACAAATATTCTTGCCAAAAGAAAAAACAAAAAGCCTAAATCTGATCAGATCTGTTCTCTAGATACAACTACCAATTTCCATAAAATACAGGATACAGAAAAATAAGTTAAAAAACCCCAAGGGGACTCAATCAGTAAAATCCAGACTGTGAAAATTCTTTTTTTTTTTTTTTGTGGCTGGCCAGTCTGGGGTTCTGAGCCCCTGACCTTGGTGTTAGTAGAACTACCCTTTGACCAAGTAAACCAACCGGCCGGCCCTAGACTGTGAAAATTTCTACAGGATAAACAAAGAGCCTTCTTCAACTAATAAAATGAAGAGGAAAAAAAAAAGAGAGAGAGAGAGAAAAAAGGGGGGCAGGGATTAAAATACTGTGAACCGAAAAGGCACTTAAGTGATATTAAGCTATCTCAATATACGGATCTTACTTGGATCCAGATTCAAATTAACTGTAGGGGGAAGAATATGTATAAAAATTCTTAATAGTAAGAAACTTTTGTTAAGTTTTTTAGTAGTTATATGGTGACATGCTTACGTTTAAAAAAAGAATTATCTTTTAGAGATACACAATGAAATGTTAATGGATGAAAATTATAATTAGAGTGGTGGTAGTTGGGAGAGGAGACTGGCCATTTAAAAACTGTTGAAACAGGGTAATGGGCACATGGAAATTCATTGTTCTATTATCTCTGCTTTTATTACATGTTTGAAATCTTCCATAATAAAAAACAAAAATAAAACAAAACAAAACAGACCTAAACCACTGAAATGTACTCTTCTTGGAGGAGAAGCTTCAATCAGTATCCTCAATGTTATGGATGTTTAGAAAACTATCCATATAGCAAAGTGAAAGCCACTTCAGGGGCACAGGTCTAGCATTTTATCCAGAAGCAACTTGCTCTTCTTCATGATTCTGAGGCCTTTTAACATACAATTGGAGGAAGTATAAAATGTAAATTTAAATTTCCATTAGTTTGATTAAAAAGTATAATAGAACCAGCAAAATATATGAACCACTACAATCATAAGTATGATGTCACCAATCAGGAACAGGTTTCCTTGGTTATTTTCACTAGGTGTTAGAAAATGAGAGAAAAGGTTATAGAGTCGGGATTTTGCAGAGAACAAGATTTAATTCAGTCCTATATATAAGGGTACTTCAAAAAGTTCATGGAAAAATAGAATTGAACGATAACACAAGGTTTTCCATGAACTTTTTGAAGTTCTATTGTATAATCTCCTAATATTTATTTATTTATTTATTTTTTATTATTTTTTTCTTTTTTGTCTTTTTTCGTGACCCGTAACGGGATCGCAACCCTCGGTGTCGCGCCCATACCGCGACTGGCAATGGGATCGCAACCCTTGGTGTCGCGCCCGCACCACGCTCAACCAGTGAGTAGACCGGTCTCTGTATGGGATCCGAACCCTCAGCGGGAGCGCCACCGCACTCCCAAGCGCCGCACTCTACCGGGTGCGCCACCAGGCCGGCCCTAATCTCCTAATATTTAAATTAAAGTAACTAGGGGGCTGGCCAGTTAGCTCAGTTGGTTAGAGTGCAGCGTTATAACACCGAAGTCACAGGTTCTGATCCCTATACTTGCCAGCTGCCAAAATAAAAATAAAAATAAAAAATAAATTAATTAAAGTAACTAAAATCAAAGCAATGCGGAATTTATATACACATAATAAGATCTCAAAATGAACAGCTACATAATTCTATTAAAATCAATGGGATGTTTATAGATATCCAAAACTGATGTAGAAGCAGTTAATAAGATAGGTCTATCTCTTATTAGATTCATTATGTAAATATCATAATTGGTATTTAAGAGTCTGGACAGTTAACTCAGTTTATTAGAGCATGGTATTATAACACCAAGATCAAGGGTTCAGATCCCTGTACCAGCCAGCCACAAAAAATAATAATAATAATAATTCACATGTTGGGTTTTTTTTGTTTTGTTTTGTTTTTTTGCGGCTGACATGTACGGGGATCTGAACCAATATGGTACTTTTTATGAAAGAACTCAAACCCTTTCACAGGGTAAAATTATCTTTCATTTTACTCAGAAAAAAACAAAGCAAGTTATCCATTTTTAAAACAAAATAGTTATTAAATTTTTTCTTAATGAACAGAGTTAACAAAAAAGCAATGACTATTCAGTAAACATGGTAACACAAGAGTTTTAATTGTTAAATATTAACAGTATTAACTGCATTATTTTTTCAGTAATTAATGTAATGAGTGAGAGAACACTAACAGTAAATCAGAGCCCACCGTGTGCCCTCTCCTAGTCACTTCTGACACCCAAATTACTATCATTCTGAATTCTATCATCATAGATTAGTGTGCCTATTTTTGAACTTTATACAAATTAAATTATACAGTATGTACTCCTTTGCGTCTGGCAACATTACTTTTGTGAGAATTTAGCCATATTCTTGAATGTAGGAACAGTTTCATTGATTTTCAACACAGTATAGTATTTTATTGCAGAATTATACTATAATTTATGTATCCATTCCATTGCTGATTAACACTTAGGTTGTTTCCCATGTCTTTTGGTACACATATTCATGCATTTAGATACACACCTAGGAGTGGAATTGCTGGGTCACTGACTACACATATTTTCAGCTTTAGTAGATACCAAGTGGCTATACCAATCTACATTCTTGACAGCAGTATACAGAATTCCAATCGCTCTACATTCTTGGCAACACTTGGTATTGTCAGTAATATTATTTTAACCATTCTGATGGGTGTCCTTTAATTTTGAAGATTACAATATACTGTTGGCAGAATTAATTACTGATGGGCCGGCCCATGGCTCACTCGGGAGAGTGCGGTGCTGATAACACCAAGGCCCCGGGTTCGGATCCCGTGTAGGGATGGCCGGTTGGCTCGCTGGCTGAGAGTGGTGCTGACAACACCAAGTCAAGTCAAGGGTTAAGATCCCCTTACCGGTCATCTTTAAAAAAAAAAAAAAGAATTAATTACTGAATGTTTAGATATAAGTATGGCTTACAGGGTTTCAGATGGCTTGCAATCCTTTTACGAATATCAAAATTATAACTCTTCATCAAGTTATCTTTCCAAAATGTTTCAAAAATAATTCCCCAGAACCAAATGTAGTAGTAATGGCATACATATAACAGGGAAAGAAATGCTATAATCTGGAGATATTTAAAGTACTATTATGGGCAGCTCATCTGGTAGAAGAAAGGGTAAAGCACAAACAAAAGGGTAAAAGTAAAGTGTAAAACCACATACACAGAGGGTTTGTTTTTCATCCAAAATCTGAATCAGATATGAGTAAATCTGTGATCTTGAGTGGCTTTTTCATAGATTCCTATATCTCATATGCCTATAAACAGCAGCAGATTTATCCTACAGATAAAATTTAGTTTAGACTTCCCTTCTAAAGGTCTAACACAACTAAAGACTATGATTGCTAACAGTCTTATAAATAGCCAAGCTTTTCTGGGGGGAAAAAGAAAGCATATATTAATGTTGGATAGAAAATGCTAAGATTTTCAAATGTTGGACTTCAAAAGCATAATATCATGAGCTCATTTTACAGTGAATAATAAAAAATGAAACCCAGATAGCTCAGTAAAATAGTTAGAAGCATATTTTCCTAATTACAAATTCTTTAAATTCACAGAAACAGTGAAATTCCCAGTTAAACAAATTTGTGGCACTAAACTTTCTAAATATGAAAGACACCATTTATCTATCTAAAGTACACCTGATATAAGTACAATAATCCAAAAGTATATTGGACTTATATCAGTTAACACTATAAACAACTGCAGTTTTATTTTATTTTTACAGAATACCACTTTTTAACTTTATTATTATAAAATGGAAATAATACTAACAGACAAAATTTAAAAATTAGAGAAGAGGAAAAATTACCTGTAATATTACCACACTAATACAACCATTATTAATATTCTGATATACTTCTTTCCAGTCTTTTTTCTAAGCATACTTAACATAATTGTAATTTTTAAAATTTGTCTTTTACAACATCTTTCTAACATAACTGTAATTGTAATGTCCATAATATTTTGTACCAAGGTTTTTTTCATTTAATTTCTTAGTTGCAGTCACAGATTTTTTTTTTTTTCCTTTTTGTCTTTTTTCGTGACCGGCAACGGATCGCAACCCTCAGTGTCGCGCCCGTACCGGACCGGGACCGGCCACGGGATCGCAACCCTCGGTGCTGCGCCCGCACCTCACTCAGCCAGTGAGCGGCGGTCTGTATGTGGGATCCGAACCCTCGGCGGAAGCACCGCCGCACTCTCAAGCAGCGCACTGTAGCAGTGCACCACCGGGCCGGCCCAGTCACAGATTTTTACATTAATAGTGTATATAATTTAACAAGGCAGTAAGAAAAACAAAGACCATAAGAACAAAGAGTTGTTTAATATGTTTACCTCATAAATAGGAAGTGTAGGAGAATTCCATGCATTGATTCTTGATTCATTGACATCAACAACCGTTACCCTGATTTTAGGACACATTTGAGCAATGACACTACATGTGGGTCCTCCAACATAACCTGCACCGATGCAGCAGATCTTCTTAATTTCAAACATGATTGTACTAGAAAGGAAATAATAAGACTGTTCTAGTATGGAAAGAGAAAATTTAAAGAAATCATACTGTACATTCATCACATTTTATAAAAACTGTTAAGGTGACAGATATCTGGAAAGATTTCCTACATTCACTCACAGGAATTATGAAAGTAATGACTTAAAAAAATAACATTCCAATTGGATGACCTAGCCTGTTTTGGGCTGTACTACCATGAAAATATATGGAAAAAATTACAGTAACCAGTATTACTGAAGAGCCACAAAGATTATAATGACCTAATGTTTAAAAAGTCAAGTATTTCTTCTGATTAGGGTCAGCAAAAAAAAAAAAAAAGTCAAGAAGCAAAATAAAATAAAACCTTCTAGCACACTAGGACAACTTTGATTACTGAGAAAAAATCCAAGGGTGAACATACCAGTGCAATTCTTGCTGAAATAAATGCTGGTGTACAAAAGTGAGTTTACAACAGGTTTAGACTAAAATGACAGATATTAAGATACCATCCACAATGAGCCACTGAGATTAAATTCCCTACATATACTTAATTGGGCTTCAGTTGATTTTTACGTACTGGGCAATGATCTTAAACTTTATTTCAATTCTAATCAGAAACCATGAGATTGTTAAAGTAATTTCTGTAGTTACTAAAGCTGTTACACAGATTTTGATAGGTAAAAAAAAAAAAAGCCATTAGGTGAATTGATTCACAGTAATCAAAATTACAAGGGACTGATTATACATAAGAATGTCCATGTATCCATTATAATGAGAACTGTCAAACTGATCAGATTGTTAGAATTTTAGTCTGCCAAGACCTCAGGATCATCTAATGGAACCTCTTCATAGATTCCAAAGAGAAGGAAAATGGTAATCAGAGAGTTTAAGAATTTGTTAGTACATCCCTGCATGGATCAGAAAAGGTACTCTGGAAGGTAGGCCTAATGTGAATGCCTGGCAATAATATCCCTATTATGAAAAAAGATACACAAAGCACATAATTAAAATTATCAATTCCCTTTGGTCTGAATATGTATTAATCTAACAACATGCTAAATCTTCATCTGGTCCTCCGGATACACCTCCCTACTGGAAGAGAACAAGCTGACTAATCCATACTAGTGTCCTGGTCAGTTTGCAGCTTCACTGTATTAATAAACAACTAATCTGGCTTATAAATCAATCTTTAATGGTCATGATTAGCAGATATCAACTCATAGAGTCTGATTCCCTAATGACTTTTTAAAAACTATAAAAAGAGAACTTTAATAAAACAGTAAAAATGGGCAGAATGTGGAATAACGATTCTACTAAAGAAATCAATGTTCTGAACAAAATACATACAAAAAGGTTTTTTTCATTTTCATTTTGTTTTGAGTAGGTAATACGTTCAGATGGTTCAAAATTAAACCTGTTATAAGATGGTTGATGGAGTTCGGATGTGTTGTCCCCTCCAAATCTCATGTGGAAATTTGATCCCCGATGTGGCAGTGTTGGAAACTGATTGAGTCATGGGGGCGGATCCCTTATGAATGGATTAATGCTCTCCCTGGGGGAGGGAGGATTAATGAGTGAGTTCTCGCTCTATTAATTCCTGTGAGAGTTTGTTGTTTAAAAGACCCTGGCACCTCCTCTCTTTCTCTTGCTTCCTCTCGCCATGTGATCTGCTTGTACCTACCGGCTGCCTGTCGCTTTCCAGCTGCCTGCCACTTTCCTCCATGAGTAGAAGCAGCCTGAGGCCCGTGCCAGATGCAGCTGTCCCAGAATCATAAGCCAAATAAACCTCTGTTCTTTATAAATTACCCAGTGTCAGGTATTTCTGTTATAGCAACACAAAATGGACTAAAACAATGGTATATACAACAAGAAACCTCACTCCTACCCCATCCCTATCTACTTTTCTACTCCCTACTTTGCATCCATAAGCAACCCATTTTTTTCTTGTGTATCCTCCCAGTGTTTTTTATGCAGCTACAAGTAGATATACATATATATTCTAATAATACCTTCTTTCTCAATTAAAGAGGTAGAATATCATATCCACTACCAACACCTGGCTTTTTTTACTTAATGCATTCTGAAAATACCTACCTACCCACCCCCCTTTTTTCAGTTACATTGCATTCCACTGAGTGGATATACTTACCAAGAAATACTAAAACCACGCTAAATCTGGTAGATTATCTTCTTAATAACCTAAATAAGTGACTTCTGTTTAAATAGTTTTAGTTCAGATGGCTTACCATAATATTTTTGCATTGATTGACCAGAATTCTATCATGGCCTTTTCTTTAGCTACCTAAAGAACTTCAGCATGTCTCCTCAGAATTCCTTCCTATCCACTTTGATTGTGAGACCATATTCCAGCTTGCCTTATATACAACAGCTGGGGTAGACTAATGATGGTAGGTGGACCTGTATTGCAAAACTGGATGTGTTTTAGGTATCCCTGCCTTGCTACTTCATATGAAGTACGGCTTGTAGGTGACAATGGAAAAATTACTGAAGAAGTTGGATGTACAAATAAACTGTCACCTGGAAGTTTCAATAAACTCCTTAATAAACTTTAATATGGAGATTGATACAGTGTAAGTGATACACTTCGCATGACACAGATGTCTTTTGATTCCATTTTCTAGTTCAACTTTTATGTACCCTCTGGCCCTATACTGTGCTGTCAGAAAAATGGGAGTGTTTGCTTACTGAATGGGTCATTAAGAAATGAGTTTTTATCACTGTACTTTGGAAGAGTCACAACAAACCAAGCTATTCTGAAACTACTCTTCATGTAAAATTTCATAAATTCAGACAACCATTTCAACCTAGAAGATGTCAATAACAAATAACGAGTTCCCGACTACAGTCTAAACAGAATATAATCCCTCTATCCCTACCCCCCTTCAGCATACTCTTCTTAGGTACCCGGGAGCTAAACAATGGGCATTATGGCTTGATATATCAACTTCACACATCATTTTAGTCATTCCCAGAAATTAAATACTAAAAGATGTCTGATCCAAGAAAAATATTTAATCAGTGAGAAAGGCAGCATTAACTTTATATCTAAAAGGTATCTTATAAAGCTGTGGAAATAGCAAGAGGGAAGATGGAGTTTACTTATCAGTTATAAATTTTATGTTAGAGAAAGGAGTACAGCAGTGGGAGAAGAAATGAGATCCTTTCAACCAGGGTAACATACCTTAAACTAGATGCTGGGTACTAACAAGCACATCTCAGAGCAGACAGTTAGTTCTTTCATTTCCAGAACCCCCTTGAAGAAACAGACCAGGCTACTGTTCTTGATTTCTTAGAGGATTTGCAGAAACTCAAAGATTCACTGTGTCTTTGGGGCCAGTCAATGAACAGCTACTTCTCTGTATATCCATGAATAGCTCCCTACTAGTGAATCTGTCTTTTCTATATACCAGAATTCCCAACCCTACTCAATTATCATCCTATATATAGGATGATAGTTATATATATAATATTATAATATCATATCATATATATATTAAATTTTCAAGATCTCACACAAACATGGTTCCTGAAGTACCCAAGAAAGGCCTTCCATGACATGAAATAGGGCAATTATGTGGGGCCAACAATGGATTCCAGGACAGCCCATACAGATAGCACGATAATCTTACGATCTCGCCTTCAAAAAGGCTTTCTGGCTTCGTTTTCTCTTTGGTTTCCCAGGAGGGGCGGCCAAAGAAAAGCAGCGGCCTCCCAGGTGAGAAAGCTCTAAACACAAACAAAAGGCTACAACTCTGAGACCAAAAGGAGGTCCCTCCAAAAGAGAGAACCTCTTCCTTCGGTGGGCTTTCGGCCCTTTCAGATGGCGGGGAAATCAGAAGGTGATAAAAGCCGAAAGAGAAAGGGCTCAAAGTCTCATGAGTTTTGAATAAAAAGCCCAGACTATTCCAACCCCAGGGCAGCAGATCCAAAACGCCACTCCCGCCCTGAGCCCAAGAGAGGAGATGTGGGTCGGGAGACGGGAAGCCCGGGACCCAGCCCAGGGAGCGACCGGGAGCAGCGCGCACGCCCCCGCCCGGCTTCTTCCCCATCCCGCTGGAGCATCCCGCCCGGGCGGCGGGGCCAGCCAGGGAAAGGCGCTTACCCACTTCCAAGCCACGAGCGCGGCGGCAGCTCGTAGCCCGAACGCTCGGACGGCACCTTCCTCCGCTCAGCCAGATCTCACCTCCCCACAGGCCCCTCCCTCAGGCTGCCAGGCGCCGCACCCCGCTCCCGGGCCGAGCCCGTATTTAAAGGTTTCTGCCCGAGGAGGCGGAGGCTTCATTCCCCCGCAGCCAGGCCCTCCTGGACTCTGCCCTCAGCCGCTTCTCCGCTTCCCCGCTCCCCCTCCCGCCACGCAAGGCCCAGGACCTGGCCCCGGTTTCCTTCGGGGCCCAGGGGCGGGGAGCCCGAGGCGGGGCTAGTGGCGGTGGGCGGTGCCGGACCCGCCCCTGTCCGAGCTGGGCGAATCCGCACGGGCCAGCTCAGCCCCTCAGCCCCTGCCCCGAGCGGCGTGGGGCGGGGCTGCGGATCCGCTAGGCCGGGGCTGGGGCGCTCTG